GCCTCGATCGTCGCGTCCGGTGTGGCCGCCGCGTCCCCGTCGACGGTGGCTACTGAGTCCTCGATCGTGGCCACTTCGTCCGCCGCGGTCGTTGAGACGTCTGCAGCCGTGACATCTTCACTGGTTCCGATACCCACAGTCGCTACTTCGGTCAGCTCGATCCGTAAGATGCCACCTTGAAGCCGTTTTAAGCAGAACTAGTTGACTAACGAAAACATGTATAGCTCCGGTCGAAGTCCCCTCGTCGGCGTCTTCAGTACCATCATTAGTCTCATCACCAACATCTCTAGCAACCGTGGTTCTCCCGAGCACATCCAGCGCCGCAGCACTTCCATCATCAAGTTCCGCTGCTGCCGCAGACTCCAGCGAGTCAGACGCAGCAGCCATCCCAGCTCCGACCCCGAGCTCATTATCGAGCGTCGAAGACTCGAGCACCTCACTAGTGCCACTACCAACAACAACATCCGCCGCGGCGGAGGTAACGACCTCCTCAGCCGCCGAGGTAGCCACGTCATCAGTCGAGTCGTCGCCCGCGGTAGTCACGACGTCCGCGGCAGTAGATACCGCCCCAGCCGCCGGCGCCTCTTCCATCGCCTTACCGATCGAGTCGACCCCGTCCGTGGCCCAGGAGACGACGACGGCGGTAGCGCAGTCATCCGTCGCGCTCCCCGCGCAAGAGACCCCCGCGGCGGCTGCCGATGTCAACCTCGCGGCCGCGGCCGTGCCGGCCATCATCACGGCGACGACGTTCGCGGGCGCCAACGAGGGCCCGCCGATTAATTTCAGCGGCGTCAATCTGAACTCGGTTATCAATCTTGGTCCTGTCGCGTAATCAATCAATCTCGTCATCCAAAAAAAAGGGGAAGGGTTGAAGACGCGGTAGAAAACTAGCGTACCAAAAGCTTCTCTCTACTCGGTAATTGTTTGGGTATAAGTACTTGAAAACTATAACTATAAAGCTTAGACTCAGATCTTGAGAAACTAACCCCCCCGGTGGAGAATACTCGTCTTCTTGATCGTGTAATTCAATATAAAGAACTTATCTTGGCATGCTTCGTTGTGGTATCTGGAGTAATATGGGGTGGTGCATTTGTTATATCTGTTCATATCGAGTTCTTTCTTCAGTAGCCATATTTGCTCTCTCTGTTCCGTAGCATGCATAGACATGGCCATGCTCGGAACAAATATTACATAACCATGACCTTCACGTCCTTTTTACATCCATTTCGTAATCGTCGCGCATGAAGCAGAGAAGGAAGCCGTTTGAGGCTACTTTGAAGTAGCAATTCTATTCAGGGGGTATCATAAGTCCAGTTTTTTCTCTTCGAGTCCAAGTGCCTAAAACGCCGGGTTTCCGCCATTACACATAATTTATACCACGGTAATGCTATTAGAAATGCATCATGTCCCGGGCATTCCCTCTTCCGCCTGTTTTTTTCTTAGGGCCGCTTTCATCTTCTTCGCCTGGCGCTTACTAATTTGTTGGCCTTCCCCTTCCGGCGTCTCTAGCCCATTTGCACTTGCAGCGGTGGAGGTTTCGGTATCATCACCGTTCTTCCTCTTCTTGCCGCCGGGGCCATCTGTTTCCTGGTTCTTATTGTTCTTCTTGCCTTTGTCTTTGCCTTGCGTGTTTCCCGGAGCAGCTCCAGCATTGCCATCCTCAGCCTCGCCCATCTCGACGTCGGCTCGTTCGCGATCCGCTACTCCAACAATATCTACAACGCCCCGAAAGCTGCTGCGCTTCAGTCCCTCGTTGACGACAACACCACGGGGCAGTACACCCAGTCCCTCCGTAGCGCGATCCGTCGACAAACCCCACACATGAAATAGGTTTACCACGTCGGCGGGCGCCCGCAAACCCAGCACAGAGCGCGCCTCGCTGCTAATCACAATTCCACGGCCACGAGTCGCGCGGACCAAGGACGACACATTGCCAATGAAGGCCGCACGAGCGCGGGCGTCAACACCCGTCCCTCCATTGCCAGCATACCCATACCCACCACTGCTCTCCTTCGCGCCCTTAGGTCCGAGAATTTGCGCGGGAGCAGGACCCTGCAGGGCCTGGGAATAGCACACCTCGAAGCGCACGCCGCGGTTCACGGCGAACATGCACGGCTTGGGACGGAAGATGAAGGGTTGCCGCACCGTCAGGTCGAGGGATATCAGCGAGATGTCGTTGAGGCTCAGGCAGGCGGCCGAAAACCCTTCCTCGGACTGTGGACGCACGGCGAGGATGTCGTAGGCGGAGGCGAGCTGGGGCAGACGGTGGTGCTGCGACGCTTCGCTTAGGACGAGGGTTGCGCGCCGGAGGACGGTGGGGAGCTTGGGTGGGGGGTTTGAGGATGAAAGGGGTGAAGATGAGGAGGGAGAGTCGAATTTCGGAATGGGATTCGTGACTTGGGGCGGGATGGCCCCCCCGATCGTGTGGTTCAGCGCGACGACGTCGTACCCGAGGGATGCGCTGAAACGGAGGGTGCGCTCCAGGTCGGCGGCGCTTGTGGAGGGCGACCACGCGATGTTGAGGTCGTAGAGCATCTTGGTTAGAGGGGGGAGTTATGGGCGCGAGGCCCGCGAACACGACGTATATAAGATTCTATCCAGCTAGGTGTGGTCAGAGTCAACGGAGTCGAGGGGTTAGAAACTCAAGTTGGAACCGGAACCCTGGATTATCGTGAAAAGAGGCTTGGGTCTGACTCTATCTACCTAATTTGGCCAAATAAATTTCTTATCAGATTGAGCTCCAAAACCCGATCCAGAGCTCATGTGGAGTCAGGTCAGGTAACACCACAGCTAGCCACCGTACCACGCCCATACCACCAGCCTATAACCAATTGCCGTCTAGTGGCCTAGTGGCCAAGTTATAGTGGCTGCAGCTGATTGATCCCCTCTTCCTCAGCGCTCTTGGCTGCTACATCCGACCGTTCCATGGGACCATAGCACAGCCTCAGTGACGCGGCATTCCGCATTCCGCTTCCATCCACATGTCGCCGCCGCGCATCATTGATAGAACAAATCCGGTTGCGCCGCCTGAGCTGGCTATTTTCTTTTCTTCAGCATTGTACAGTACCCTATAAGCCCAGATCGGATAATCCCTATTTGCCATTGCCTTTTCATCATTTGTGACATCCTGCACCCTTTGCGACACCGAAACTACCACTAGACTCTCGCCTCCTAGCTACAACACGGTTACACGCTGCGCCGCCTTGGACTAATAACCATCAACCATCGATATCCGAACAAAGCCTCAGCCGCATACGCCAAACGATGTGTCTGATTTTCACCTGTGGCGAGCACACCTTCCGGAAGGAGGTTGAGGGCTACGAGGGCGTCACCTGCCAATGTCACAATTGTGGTAACTACGCTGCCCATGTCATCAAGAGCAACCCGTGGTTTACCTTTTGTTTCGTCGTGAGTCCCTCTTTCTCTGTCTCATTGTTTCTCCTGCGCCTCTCTCGTCTCGCGTCCAACATAAGCCGTGCTGTCGGAATACGCGTGAGGCTACGGACCTAGGCTGTATACATGCTAACTTATTCATCGCGCAGCCCGTTATACCGCTCTCCTTCAAAGGCTATCATGACGTTGTTTGCCACGTCTGTAACTTCGCCCAGCCGCTCGAGAATAGACCTGATGTTATGAACATGAGAGGCGGAGGCAACAATATACCAATGCAAAACCAATACCCGCCTCAAGGTTGGGGTGGAGGCCCGCCGCCACCACAAGGTCAACCGCCCATGCAATATAAGTAATGTGGGCGCAGAGACTCATAGGGGATGGTGGGCAAGGATAAAACGTATAATTAAGGCATTGCAAGAGAATTGACAACAAGCGAGGCGTGTAGGAGAGCGGTTCTCAAGGCATACATACTTGGCCCGATTGCATATTAGCACCTGGGAAAAGGGGTTATATCGGCATAAGGGCTTCAGGTGTAGTTAATGACATGGCGTTAAGGGGTTTTTGGAGGTCGTCTTTGATTCATAACCACTGCTATCAGCATAGCAAAACTGCAGAAGCCTTTCTTTTACCAGCCTATATTATGCTTCAAATACTAGATACCATGATCAGTTCTCTCATCAATATTAATGGCGTCCATTTTTCATCCACTCTCGTTGACCCTTGTTGCAAAGCTAGTATACAGCAGTGACAAAATCTATCATGTACATAGCCCTTCAATTACTACACGCTAATTCCACTCTATTTCTCTAGTTGTAGATGTATGAGGGAGGGAAGGGTAAAGTCCACCAAATTAAGGCATGCATCCAGTTACAATACAGCAAATGAGATAGAAAGTCTCCCGGCCAAGAAGGGATTTGTCCGGATAGAAGATCAACCAGCGGATCATACAAGACTCATAATTCACAAGCAGCCAATATCATGTTTTTACACAAACCTAGCAAGGGAATCTTTGATGTACTCGTATTCGCCTTATTTATTTTCTTTTAAACTCAGTCACGGTATCCCATACTTTAAAGCGACAAAATAGGAAATAGCCCGACCTAACATCATATCTTATCTAATCAAAGTATGTTATCTTATCAGAGAATATAGCACCGGTGGCGGGGTCATCCCTCCTCTATCACGAAATAAGTGAACATATTAAAACAGTTGACGAATGAAGCAGGAAAGCCAAATTTATCATAGCACCATAATCAGACAGTTAAATAGATATTTCGATCTATATATGATTTACCATAGCCGCAAAGAGTTGTTCACAGCTTGTACGCGAAGAATTGCTTGAAGGCTGCTGATGTACACACCATGATTAACCATAGGTAAGGCATTTATGTAGTACTATCTCTGCGGTGTTTTGCACCTCTATTGTTGATACCGTTAGAACTTTTGATTTTACGTGATGTTATTCTTGCTGCCAAAATGTAAATAGGTCTATCTATCACAACGTGCACCAACTTTCCCCCAAGTCCTGCACACCCTTCCCAGACCTCTGCCTGTCCAATCGAATCAGTCTACATGAGCCTAATTCAGCCAACAATAACCAATCCGTGGGTGAGATGGCCGAGTGGTTATGGCGCCGTGTTCAGGAAAACACGATTTACCACCTTCAAAGGTTGTAAATTGGGTATCGTGAACAATTCGCGGTGGAGCAATCCGCGTGGGTTCGAGTCCCACTCTCATCACACATCTTGATCAACGAGGTCATTTTTTTTAAACCTTTTTCTTGAATCATGCTATATTTATTGAGGATGCAATTCTTTTTAGTTATTTTTTTTTAGTTAATGCAGGCTTTCCTTCCCGCTGGTAGAATTTATGGAATAAAGGTAGAACTTGCCTATGCATACATATCTGCTAACCTACGCGTATGCCTACAAGAATTTCAGTTTAAGCCTGAGCCTACCTACTACTTACTCCTTTTATGCTAAAAATACACACAAACTTTACGGGGGTGTTTTAAGCGGCAGGTATCGACAGAGGTTTGTGAACATATATCACTATAAAAGCATCATAGTCTCGGGAGGGGGGGTAGGCCAGATGCAGTCGATAGCAGATAATCAATCATATGTGGCTGTCTTGGCCTTCGCAGGACACAATAAAGCCTGTCTATCTAAAGCAAGACGCAGCTAAGTGAAGGCTAAAAAACCTATATATAGTACAATATTCCTCCTATTGAAACTGAGGTCAAGATACGGTTGACTATTATCTAAACCCTGCGCCAGGGTTCCTAATACTCTGCAAGTAGAGGTTTCTTTCTTTCTTTTCCTATTTTTTATTTAATGATGAGGACATGGCATGGCATGGCTTAAATTATTCAGCAATAAAACAATTAGAACCCCGGCAACATGTAGCCAGAGTGAAGTTTGCTAGGCCATAATTACAGGGAATTAATTACAGGTGCGATTCTCCGTACATACATCCAGACTTCACCGTTTGAGCTCCTATGCACCTCGATACGCCGCGTCGCACAAACACAAGCAACAAGCACTAGCCTAGAATGACTAATGCGCCCATACAGAGAAATATCCGCGAGAAATATCCAGTGACGCCCGCCATGCCTAGGATTGATATACACACCTGAGGCCCTTACCAGCATAACTGATCTAGATAACGCACAGTACAGATCTATGGTACACTTTGTGACCTATGATGGCGAGCAAACGATCGCGTGGCCCGGAATTGGTGCCGAACCCCTTTATCAAGAAGAGGAATCTAGAATGGAGCATTGACATCACCGGCTTGCCTCGCGACGCTGCTAGCTCCAGCGGCGATGATGATGACGACTATGACAACGAGGACAAAACCCCATCGCAACCTCAAAGCGAACAGGAGCAGGCAACCACATCCGCAATTGAGGCTGGGAAAGCCAGCATAGAGAACCATCTCGACTACTTTCATTCGCATCTAGCTAAGGCCACTCTATCACCATTTCCCCCGGGTACCCCTCGTCTCTCTGTAGAGGAATATCGCAAGCTATATGAGGCCAATGCGGGAAGTTCCCAGGGAGCGCACTTCATCATTCATCAGCATGATCATCCGATTGCAGGCACGCATTACGATCTCCGACTGCAAATCAATGAGACGAGCAGTGTATCATGGGCCATCATGTACGGACTTCCTGGGGACCCGAATAGCTTTCGGCTGAATCGAAATGCGACCGAGACGCGAATACATTGTCTATGGGCAAGTACCAAATAGCACCCTAAAATCCGGAAGCTATAATTGGTCTATTCTATTTAGAAGAGATGCGCTAACACAGCAACAGAACCATCTCATCGAAACAGGCTCTCACGCCACCGGCTCCCTTCTCATCTGGGATACAGGAACCTACACAGTCTTACCAACAAAGCCTAAGCATTCCCAGGATGACTCACAGTCCTCAGCAGATGAAGATGACGATTCGCCACAGCTGACCGAGCAGCAAAAGCTGCACGAGGCATTCGCAGCACGAAAGATCCGCTTGCAGCTCCATGGAACGCGCCTACCATTAACATATGTGCTGAACTTACGTCTGACGCGCGAAGAAGATGCCGCAGGCCGGGCGCGCAGTACACGTGCCCCTAAGATACGACGGTGGCGAGGTGCACCGTCTTCGGTTTCGGGGAGGATAACTAGATCTAGTGCCAAAGGCAAGAAAGTATCCGAACCAGCCACGAGTTCTGATTCGGAAGCCGAGTCCGCACCATCTCCCTCCCGAGCAAGCAGCGGAAAACAACGACAGGGAGAGAGAAGTATAGATGTTGGCAAAGATGACACAGACATTGTATATGCCCCTGCTGAGGAAGCCAAGAAGGGCGAGAAGGATATCTCGGCTACTGAGCGCGAACTACGGGAGCTTGAGGATGAGGAGGTTCGCAAAACAAATGCATACCCTGGCGCAACCAACTCTATCGGCAGCGTACACCAGAGGCGGTGGTACCTATCCCTAGACCGCGAGGCAAGTGGCTTTGTGAAACGGCGAAAAGAGGGGAGGGCGGTTTGGGAATGCATGGATGTTCCTTCTATCGCAACAGTAGGGGGTCAGCAGAGGGCAAAGGAAAGGACGAATGAGGATGAAGAGGACGCTGCCACACCGAGGTTAACCTTCCCATTTTACGTACGCGGCGTTGAGTACGAGAGAAGTGTGGTTACAGGACGGCTAGGCAGTGAGGTACTGAAGGATGAGGGAGTGGTGGGATATGTTGGACGGAAGGGCTGGCAGGCGATTCTCAAATGAGGAAGGTGTCGAGTACCTTACGCCTATCACATACCACCTATGTTTGCCATTATTATAGGAAGGTACCTGCTTTAGGTAGGTACGTAGAACAAGTCAGTATTGGAACTCCTTGAAACCTGTCTGTACCCAATGTCTGGATCCATTATACCGAGTAGGTATAAGCATTTATAAATATGCTGCAGGAGTTTGCTTGTGCTATCTTGCCTATTGCCCCGTTCGGGTTGGTTAGGCACGAGAATATTAGCTTAAGCGCTTTGAGTATATATTTTCATCCATTCATGACAAACGAAATAGCCGCGCAGTTCCTCAAATGTTAAATGTTGTACACATATTAATACCACCATTGCTCACTACAGTTATGATATGCCAACTGAATAGAAATCAAAACACAGGTGATTCCTTTTCCCTAAAAATCCAAGAAGAAAGAAGATAGTGGCTTGCTTCAATAGAATATGAGTACCTAGGTGCTTGGGTGAGTGTTACAGGCCTAAGCCCCCGGCCATCTATCAAGGAACTTTAAGTTGATAGTTTATTTTTAACGCCACTCCAATGCTTAATCTACAGTTAAATCGACATACCCCTAATGCTATGCATTAGTATGTACCATAATGATGTATTAGGAGAAGATATCGTGAGGCGTAAGAGGAAGTGGGCAAAGAGAGCATTTAGAAAGGTTTTGAGATACTTTGTGCAACAATGAGAGTTTATCACCTGTTACATACTGGAGGATTCTGACAGCATGGGATGGAATGTTAAACAATAGATCCATTGGTATATATATAAAGTTTTGTACTGCAGTTCTACCTAGTTCTAATAGCCACAACACTGCAGTATATTTAACGTAATCAAATGGGAATTAATATTTTAAACAGTGTAGCTTAATGATTAGATCTAGAGCCTTTTATTGCTAGTTATTTTAAAATACATGAAAACTTATATTTAACTACATTAAGCCTAGTGACTAACCGTCTTAAGTATCTTAAGCATTAAACTAAATATAACAATATCTAATTCTGTTTAGGAATACTCTTATGTACAAATCTAGTATATGCGATCTAGAGAGTTAACAAAGGCATCGTAAATTGTTAGACATGACTGTGTTTCCCAAAAAGTTTTCTTTCACTACCTTTCAAGTGAGGTTATTTTAGGGGGGCTGGAGGAAGCCGGTTGCCTTGGAATAAAGTTAGACTTGGTCTTGAGAGTCCGTGTCGAGGGAGCCGAGTGTCATGAGAGTGCGTGCCACCTATGTGATGGTTCAAGTGTAGATTGCACATGGCACAGTTTTATTTGGGTTTGCATTAGGGAATTTTGTGTTTGGCATCAGCAGTTGAGAGTAACCTAATGCACAGTAGTCGATGCGTGCCCTAACTTTATGTACTCGTTATTCCATGTGATTAAACAGCCCGTTGAATAAACGTGGAATAACCATTAGTTTATCTTGCAAGTCCCTTATCTACTCAGTGTCGACCTTTCACTGGAGCCGCTTCACTAGGCATTGTGTACCTTGATATCGACAACCGCACAACCTCCGTCTTTTCCAATACTCCAGCCCTAATGCATACCACATCCCATTTCCATCATATTTTGATCATTTAACATCGACAACGCCGTCCATACAACCTGAAACTCCGCGCTAGTTTACTATGCGGATGCTGGATCTGTAGCCATGGACCTGACTGTGACTGACGCAAACACGCAGCGTGAGCTGCAGAAATACATTGAACTTGCAAGAAAATATCCCGAGTCCTGGGTTAAACCTGCGATTGACTGGATTTTCGAAGAGCCGCAGGGCGACAAGCATGGACGCCATCCAGAATGGCCGGGATACACGGGGATAGGGAAGAGTTTGAAGTTCAGGCCCGAGCCGCTGGCATACGAGGCGAAGACGCTTGCCGAGAACACCATCCTCAGCTTCTATCCAGCTGAAGGCGACCGTAACTTGACGCCAATGCAGATCAAGGCGCGCAAAGAGATCATTCGGCGTTTCACGGAGGTTCAATTTAGCCCCAAGCCTATCACTACGTGCGACATAGAGCCTTTCATGTCGCTGTTTGACAAGTTCTTTTTCTTTGGCGCCATGACTAGCAGGAGACATCCGCGCGTTGTCTGTACGCTCTGGGAGAAGCAATCCCCTCATCTGCTACGCCACTGGGCCCCGAGCCTCCTAAATCAGGAGGGCCTGTCGGGATTCACTCGCCACCGACATATCAAGGGCTATGGACCAGTGTCGGATATCCACATCAAAGGTCCGTCAGTCTGCGATCCTGAGACTAAGCTCGGCTGGTTCCTCTGCACACTGCTGCACGAGATGGTGCACGCATACCTGCGCATATACGTGTGCCCCTGTACAACGTGCAAGTGCAACATCATAAACGCCAGTGGTGTCACAGGTCACGGACCCAGCTTCCTCATGATATTAGACGTCATCGATCGCACTCTTCAAGATTGGGGGATCCCAGTGAGGGGGAT